CCGGGAAGAGTTTTGACTTCCCACTTGAAAGTTTCCGATTCAAGTCCTGACAGGGTCACAACAATTACCCGCTAATGACGAGACAGCTGACCACCGCTCTTGGCTGATGAGTACACAGGTTTCTGTTGCACGTAAATGTTTATTTTTTCTTTTGATCCACTGAATTCAAGTGCGATTTAGGCTTTCGAGGAGTTCACTCTGATAAGCCTAACATTTTTCAAGGGAGGGTGATGCCAACCTAAGGTCCCCATTAGACGGAACGGACAAAAAACAACCCTAACATCCGTGTTTGGCTCCGCTTGAAACCTTAAATCTCTTCTTAGTCACAAGTTACATACGAGGAACTCTCTCACCCTCTGGTACCATTATTCTATCCATAGTTATTTGTTTCATTTGTCCAGGTACAACAGATCAGGAGTGCATCAGAAGCACTAGCTAATAGTACTTTTCTGGTACACTTTTATAGGCTTAGTGCTCACTGTACGGTTAGAAGCAAATTTTCACACATTCCACACTAAACGTAAGTACCCCAGTTGGTTGATTCTCTGCTGACCTACTTCTGCTGAAATAGTGTGTGTGTTTGTGTGAAAACCCAAGGTTGCACGCAATTGATGAGGAACCCTGGACCTTAATCATTCCTATCTGAATGAAAGCCTCATCAAGTGGTGTGTGACGGTGCTCATCAATTTCCTCCTAGTAACGCTCGTTCCAGCTGACGAGAAGTTAGTTACCTACGGTCTACATTGCATGAACGGCCAAGAACAGTCTTAACTAAATGGGATGATTTTTTTAAATTTCACACCAGAGTGTGATGAACAGTAGTCGGGGCGAACCCCATAGTCACGAAGACCTGCTGTTTAGTGATGGTAACCGACGTCCTAAGCCCCGAGGGACTTGGAGTGGTGAACCACATAAGGCCCCGATAGGTTAGGCGTGATATTGAATCGGACGACAGGAGAGCTGCCCACCACCAAAGTCGGGTGGCGGTGGCGGAGCTCGAACCTCGAATCATAGGGTTTTAAAGCACGCCGGTGACAGTGACTAAACCGCTGCGCCACAGTAGACAGAATCTACAGAACAGCACTCACTAAAGCCATCGAAAAGCAAAATTGGATGAGAATGATCATTCGGTGTTCATTCGGTGCCAGGATCTTATTAAAAGAACTGAAAACGCGTGAATAGTTTCGCGTGAGTGGATACAATGGTCGCGAAGATCTGCTGTTCAGTAATGGAAACCGGCAACCTAAGCCGCGCCACTTGAAGTGGCGAACCGCCACGTAAGGCATCACTAGGTTAGCCGTGGTATTGAACCAGACGACTGTGGCAGGATTCCAACCTCGGACTATAGGGTACAAAGCACGCCGGTGACAGTGGCTAAACCAGTGAACCACCACCATCTGGTCAAACGGAATTCACAAATACGTAGACAGAAGTGCCTTCTGGTCAAAATAATTACGGAAGTCGGGAAACAAAACGCGCAGAACCAAAGGATTGTTTTCACATCATGCTTACCGGGCTTGATATGGTTGGAATTCAATCCGGTCTTCCAGTGTACTACTGGCTGAGAACGCACTGTCGGGGAATTCCTCTTGTGACTTAATCAGGGAGCTCATGCACTGAGAATCTGGACCTGATCCACGTCGCACAGCTGTAAAAAGTGGGAGATGAAAAAGAAAATTAATCGGAGATGATCCGGTTGCATGATTCACAACAAAAATCACTGAACAGTTCTGTCCGGTATATACATCCTGAAGATTAAAATATCACTGGCAGAGAGGATGTAAATCGACTGGTTGCCAAATTATTTCTAAATCAAGTAGTGATGGAGATCATCGAAAATGGAGATCTACTCTACTGTGAGAACGATTACAGTGACTTTTTTCATGCACTCATATGATTGGAACAAGATAAACGACATGAACGGATGCCTACAAGAGCCACGATAAAACCGTCAGATAAACAAATTGATTTGGTGCCGAGTGCTTGAACCTAATGCACGGGTGACTCGTGAAGTAGCTACACCATTACACAGACGCACACACACAAAAACTGCTTTATGATGAATACCAACAGTAGTTGAATTTTCATGCAGGATTTTGCAGGAATTTCACCATAAAGAAAACAAATGATCTTAGACATTATCCTCTTTTTACCGTAGGCGCTTACAGCAAAATAAACTTTGACCGATATGATATAATATCGTAAAATTGTGCCATTTTCTCGACTTGCTTAACACACTTGGCAGCTTGCCGTTCTGTTTGAGTATGAGGGATATTCATGTCGACTGGACATTTGAGTTTATGGTGTTTATGCTTTTCCTCCTTCATAGATTGTCATTCAACCTCCCCTACACACAGGAAACCTCCTGTTGGTTGGCGATTCCAACCCACGGGGAGACTCGGATCACATTCGGTGACCTCTCGCAACGATTGTTTCAAAAGAGTACCGTATAAAAGTAAAATGAGCAAGTAACTTCCAGCCCGATTTCAGCCTGTCCTAATCTCTTCATTTGTATCTCAAGTATTGCTTTCGAGAATATCACATTTTAAAGAACCCTTAGGATGATTTCATGGTAGTATGTGGTTCAGGTGTTTCTCATTCTAGCAAACTAGGTATTAGGGCCGGTTTTTGATGTTCTGTTATCAGGAACGCTTCCATGAATCTTTTGTCTAGTGGACTCAATTTCTTCTGTACCGTCTCAACCAACGGAATAGCAATTTACATTTTCGGATTGCCACAAGCATTTGGTTGTGGTAGCCAGCTGGATAGATCACCAAATTGTGACCCCGGGGGTCCCGGGGGTTCGAACAGTTTTATCGCTGGCCGCCTTCTCCCTCTCCCCATTGCTGTATTTTCCCGGACAGTAAGGTGGCAGCCCCGCTCCCGAAAGTTGGCTGTATATTTTTATATTCCATAAATAAAAATGAAAGCACA